ACCCTCCTCAATACAAAGTAAAACAAGGGGCAATCCTCAAAGACCAAGGGTTCTGTTCAGACTTTAAATGCTGGAAGGCAGGAAGTATGAAAAGTATAGTAGGGCAGAGCAGTGCTGGAACAGACGTCAAGAGACATCGTGGGATCTCCCTCTCTGAATGATTTCAAGTCTTGGCAAGTCTATTGGCTGGTGATTGACAGTAGCTCTGCTTTTTGGGCCAGGTGACTCCAGAGTCTTCCTCCAAACAACACCTGTACCTTTTGGTGACTGAAGGGCAGTATCTACTAGTGCCACCATGTACTTTTTTGGAATGCATCTTACTCATACTGTGGAAATACCTTGCTCATGATGGACATGAAGAGGCAAGTCTGGTGTATGGGGGTGCATCTGTGCTCAATATAAACCTGTCACATTATTGGCATTTTGTCTGAAATTTGTGTAGTAGAAAGCCTTCAGCCAGCTTCCCCAGGCATCCTCTCACAAGGATTTCAAGGCTCCTAAAGCATAAACGAGAGCTGGTTTTATGAGTCTCATTGATTCCTATCCTCCATCCATCCATAACAGTGAGTATCTTACCCATTGTATTCATTACTCTAGACAAATTTGTAATCTTAACAGGAAAGAGTCATTAACAGGAAACATATCTCATATTTGCATATAAGCTTTTTGCTGACACTCCAATTTCAAGACTAGGTAGCTACCAGCTTCACCTCTCTGCAATTGTGGAGTTACCTCATTTTTTACACTTCTAACCTATGCCAGTTTTATAATCCTACAGTGGATCCAACAACTTTAAATAAATTGTTTTTATTGACAATATTATTATGATCACCTAGTGTAATACAAACACTTAACTAAGTTACTTACTCTCGAAGATAATACATACATCTGATTTTAAAATTACTGTTGTTGTAGAAAACACCATTATTCTAAATAACTTGTTCCAAAGTTAATCTATTCTGCCTATTGTAATTTTGTATTGTACTTCTACTCTGATCTTATTTAAGTTTTCATTCACTATATTTTCTTGTATCGAAGGTTGACATTATGCAAGTATTGCCTAAACAATGCCATTTAGGCTAGTTTTCATATAATTTATAAAAGCACGAATTAATAGTATACTATTGTCTCTTATCTGCTTGAATTTATACAAGCACTTTGAAACACTGAATAGGAAAACTGGTTCAGGTTTCTCTTCCATCTATTATTACAAGCAAATGAAGTCAAACAAACCAGAATGAGAAATTAATGAGAGAAAATACAGCACAAGTAAGAAAGCTTATTCCCATGAGTTTATAATAATGGTAACACTGGCTGGCACATTTTTAATTTTTATCAAAGGCAATATTTAGGTATTCAGTGTGATTCAGTCAATTGCAGATCAGATTTTTGTCTGAACTATTTAAGTCTTCTATGAATTTAGAAAGAAAGGCTCCCAGAGGTGCTCCTTCTCTGAGTGATGAGCAGAGGTTTAACCTTCTGACTCATATCTAGTTTAACGCAGATTGTGTCCTCAGATTCCCATTTCTCCCTCCACCACTCCCACCAATGAAGGGTAGCACATAGAGATAATATGAAAGCAAGCAACTTGGTTTGTTTAGGTACCCCTTAGTGTCTGGAAGGGTCTATGTTTGGTCTTTATAAATATATATTAAAAAATATATTAACAAAGGAAATCCCATGGTGAAGAAAGTGTTATTTAGGTTAAGGAACTAATACAACCTAGTCATAAATAAACTTATGCTGATAATTAGAAGACTTATAGAAATTATTGCAATGAAGATCTGGAATAGATTTCTACTTGGAGGCATTAAGGGGAAAAAATCTAATTAGCTGTAAAATAGAGTTTGATCAATTCTAAACCTGTGGGATTACACAATGTGACTGCCAGAAATGACAGGAGACTGAACTCGGTGAAGTCCCTCTACTGTGTCAATTCTTACTGGAATATTTCAACTCTCTCATTCTTTTGTTTGTAATCCACGTTCCTTAATCCGTCTCTTCAGATATCTAATATCAGAGCTATTATACATCTGAAGGTATCCTGCCTGGCCAGAATTTCTCATGCAGGACCCTAGCTATATTCATGACATGAAAGATAAGAAACGGGACTGATAATTTCATGAAACGTTTCAGTTCATTACATCAAGTTCTTCTCTGTCCCCAGACATCCAGAGCAGTAGCTTCGACATCCTTTTCCACAACAATGTGTGCACTTCTGCAATGCTGGTGTGTCTCTCTATGAGTGTGTGTCTCTATGGATGTATTCACTAGGTAGGTGTAAATATGTAAGCACATTTCTACTCTGCCTGACCTCTTCTGGTAATGACATTACCAGCTCAAGACTTACACCTATTTCTTTCAAAACGATGATTTTCCCCACAGTTTCCTAAGGGAAAGGGAAATTTAGTTTGACTTATTATACTGCCACAGGTACACATACCTCATTTTTGCATGCTCAGAGTATATTTTTGCAGTAACCTTCAGAGACAGGGAAAGGGGTGGAGGATCATGCAGCCAGCATGAACCAGCTGCCCTTCTGTGCCCTTAATAGCCCACTTGTCCTCTTGGAGTGGTGAGCACCTCTGAACCTCAAGGATCCCAAGAGAATTTGCCACAATGTTCTTTCATTATATTGTCCTCCACAGGATTTATCAAGCCTGTTAATGTTAGTGACAGAGACAGCTCTCCAGCTGCATTAGCATCTATGTCAAAGTAGGCAGATACTTCATGGGATACCACTGTGTAGGTAGTTCAAGATGTCTCAGAGAAGTTAAAGCTTCCTGGGCCTGACAAAGCTTGTAGCAAAGGACAGAGACACAAAATCAGATGCCTCTTCTAAGTTCACACATGTAAAAGTGACAACCTGATGAATGTTTCATAATTTATATTTATTCTTTCCCTCTCACCTCATAATATGGAGTATATATATCAACTAATCTTTGTGAAAATAAGTCTGGGCTATAAAGAAATAGCTAGAATGCTATTGAAATGTTGAAATGCTCTCTCCTTCATATATCTCCTAATTTAAAGACCCTTTGCATCTTGAGAATTTTGAAGTAGGACAGAACAGGAATTTTGTCTTGTTATGTCTTAACATATTTTAGATTTGGATGGATACAAAGTTCATCCTGAAAAGTGCTCTGAGCCTGGTATCCTTCAAAACTGCTTTAAACAGGATCAGATAACTGGGCAGAAAAAATAGCTTGTGCTCTGTGAAGCCTCCTCTGTAGGCACTTGGCATATTCTACCCTTGAAATAATAAGGCAGATCCTCGCAAGGGTAGATCAGATGTATAAAATATAATAGCCATTTTTATTTAGTTACTCTGCACTGCTTGCTTTCTTATTTATTACTTTCTTTTTTTTTTTTTAATATATATATATTTTTTTTCTGTTATCCAACTCTAATTTTCTCCTCCCAAGCCCAGCTTGCAGAATCCATTCATTTTAACAGGACATAAGCCACCCTAGAGCCATGAGGTTGAAGAGGTTACAAAATGTAATCAGCTTGTTTACATTATTCATCCTTTTAATTTTTAGCAGCCTACATTTTCTCCATCATTCTCCTGGGGCATTATGGCAGCAGCAAAACTTTTCCAGGCAGAGCTGCCAAGCCTGAGCTTGCGAAAGGTCTCCCTTCACAACTCAGGATGAATGCCACTGTGTTGTTACTGGAGGAGGCTACAGATTAAAGCAGGAACTGTTTCAGGCTGTAAGGTCTGTAATGGAAAAAGGTTGAACTCACTGTGGAATTGGGATATCTCCCTGTTTTCTGGTCAGTCTGCATGGGAGATATCCCAGGTGCTTTTCTCCTTCTGCTTAGAGCTCTATTTTCCCCTGCCCCCCATAGAGGTTCTCCCCAGATCCCACATTACTCTATTTGTCCTGCTGCAGCTCTCCTGGATCAACATTGACTGTCGCTGTCATGCAGGATTTACCCTGCAGCGAAGGAGCCCATGGACTATTGCCACTCATTTTCCTCCACTTGTAACAAAGCCAGCTGGTGTGGCATAGGAGTTTCTGGGAGGACATGCAAACAAGCTGAGAACGCATTCACAAATATATCATATAGGAATAAAGAGCCCTCTATTTGATTCCAGAAAGTATATCAAAAAACTAAGCAATATAATACCAGAAAGCTTTAGAGAAAGAACAATTATTCTCTAAAAGAAGAATTCCATTCTCTGATGCAGAGATTGGGAATTTTCCAGTGCATAGGCCATGACTGTCAAAAACACAACTGTTTGTGAAGTAACGACCATCTGAGGAACAACCTTCTAGCGCTTCAAGCTGTAAAAGCTGCAGATGGCAGGAGCATCTTAAAGGGAAATAGCTTTAAGAATGAAGTGTTTGAAGAAATCTTGTTGAGACATACCATGCTGAAGATAAATCAATGCAATCATTCCTGGAAAGCCTGGCTGACAAATTTCCCTATCGCATAGTTTGTGGGGGTAGCAAAAATGTTTCCTGCATTACTCATGCAAACATTCCTAGTGATTTCAGTAAGACCCAGACTAAATCTCCGAATAAAGAAAATAGGATTCAGCCAAGACTTTTCTAGCACTTATGAAAATTCCCCAGAAATTGGGAGGAAAATTATGACCATTTTAAGGTAGACTGGAATTTAAGACATAACGGTTGCTATGGGTTTTTCAGGAGAAATTCAAATTTGATAGAAAAGGTGTCATTCTGATTAGACTCACTAGCTGCAGAGTACAATTTCTGTAGGGCTGAAGTGATTTTGGTTGGATAGGTTTTACTCCATAGTATGAAAACAGCTTTCTAGCAGAAAAAATTTACACATACAAGAACATAGCATAACATAATTGAATAATTATGTGTCCCTGCTTCCCATGTATATTCCCATGTAGCTATACAACCAGACTCTACAAGATGGTTAAGACCTTCAAGATGGTTAAGATCTTCAGTGAGAGCTGTATGTCACAGACAATAAATACATATAATGGGGAGGAGGAAAGGAAAACTACTTAGCAGACAGCATGGTTCTTCTTTCAAGCTTCTGTCCTTTCCAACCACTGGTGAATTACAGCAACACTTAGGCAAAAGAGGCAGCCACCATTTATCATTTATTGTAAAAGTATTTTTACTGCTGAAAGTATCATTCAGGACTGAAAATGTTTGGTTCACAAAGAGTTATCTGTTCTGAAGCAGTCTGGTGCCTCTGAAACAAGCTGCCAGCAGTTCCCGGCAGTGAGCTGGACGAGGACAGCTGAGGGGAATGCCGGGAGGAGCTGAGCTCCCAGGAGGCAGCATGGAGAGAAAGCATCTGGTGGTGGGGAACCATGACCTGAGCCACTGGAAACCATGGGCAGGGAGACACATCCTAATGCCTGTAGTCACGTCCTTTCCAAGGAGATCAGCAGTTCTCGTAATTGACTTCCCGTAGGACTTCAGTAAGCACAGAGATTTTTTCTTCTCGTCCACTGAAACCAGATGCAGAAGCAGAAACAGTCTCTGGACCCCTTGGGAATGCATGCTGGTGATATAAGCAAAGGCACAGTATTATATAGATGTGGGTATTAGGTCCCTTCCTGGATCAGTTTTTTTTTACTAGTCACATTTAAAGCTGTATCTTGCTGGTCACTTGCCCTAAGGCACACAGTACAAATTAAGAAAGAAAAGAAAAAAAATGGCATTCAGGGAAAAAATCTCAGAAGTAATTATTGTGGGCCAGTCAAAAAAAAAAATATATATATATATATATATTTTTTTTTTTTTTTCTAACATAGGAGGATGCAAAAAGACAACAGATTTCCCTGTGGCATCTTTCTGTGCTTCTGCTGCAACAATTAAGTTAACATGTCACATCTGCTATACATCCTAATGAGGGGAAATAAGAGGGATTCAAACCCAATTCATCCAAGAGCAAGGGATCTGAGATGCTCGTTTCTATAGCCCTAGAAGCAAAAGCTGTTATTACAGCTGAGGTATGTGACTGGTACTTATTTTCTAGACCTTTTCTCCATACCTGCAAGCAGTTCTCAATTTAATTTTCTTTCCTCTTCCCATTCTAACATCTATAATGATCTTCTTTTTCATAGAATAGCTAACCTAATAACAAACAATTGATATCTACCATACAGTTATGTGTATATACATCTCTATGTACGTCTACTAAGGCACCATCAAGTAAGGAAACAAAAGTGGTATCACAAACTAGTCAATGAAATTAAAAAAGTGTGTCAGATTGCCAGAACTCTGTCTTAAAAATGATAATAGTTTGAATTTTTAGACTTTCCAACTAACAGCTTTCACTTTTGAAAAATTAATCTATCCCTCAGAATAGTTGCCAAAAAAGGAAAAAGAAAAATCTGGCTCGGTCCTGACTGCAGCTCCTAAAAGGATCATTCAGCCTAATCCTGTCTTTAGGAAAAACTAAAACTGTGATGCCAAATTTCGGTTTCTAGTCTAAAATATATATATATATATATCCAACATGCCAAAAATGTGTCTAAAAGAAGTAACCTGCCTGAGGTTAAAATGTTTTCCCTGATTTACAGTGTTTGGTTAAAAATGTATTTAGGATGATGACAAGCAAAGCAGGGTGTAATTTACTTTGAAAAGAAATTACTCTAATGCTGTAAAACTCACTGAGAAAAGTCAGATACATAAAAGGTGAAGAGAAATGCTGACAAACAATAACTATCACAGTGCAAGAGAGTAAAACAGCTTTAAATAATGTGCATATTTTATGAGGTACTCTTTTTTATAATTCACAGTAGAAACATGTATACTTTGCAAAGTCTAATCATGGCAATCACTGCCAGTTCAGTAAAGGTTTATAAATAGCTGTGTCTGCTTAAAGCAACTGCAGTGGGCTTCATCCCATATAAAATTAATAAATTTACAGATGGAGCTTCTTATTCTAAGACCTCTATTTAGGTGTCAGTCCTCTCTGGATGTGAGTGAGGTATTTAAGATCCAGTTCCCACTAACTGAGCTGTAGATACTGGGCTAGTATCTACAATTACTTTCCATCAGCTGACTAGCTATTTAGATTTGGGGAAGGGGAAAGCTCCATTGCCGGAACAGACCTTTTTGATCTCCATTCAGACATTTTCAGGTAGTCTACATGGCTGCAGACACTGCTACAGGAAGTCATGGACCAGACTTACCAGCCCCCAGCTAATGCCTTTGGTGCCCCAGGGCATCTCAGTTGGTTCTGTCTGCTGAAGTTTAGATAACTGTATCTCACCTTTTGTTCACTAGGGTTACTAGAGGCTCAGTTCAGTTGCCTAAATAGAAGTGGGCTAAAATAGGCCATTTAAGATGACTCAGGATATCAGAAAAATCTGCTCAGGTCTGGCAAATGTGGGTCAAGCCTTATGGGAGACCCACATGTCAACGGACAGGCAGTCAGCAGGCAGACAAAAGATCTCACCTAGGGCATTTTAAAAGGCACAAGGTGGCTAAGCTGGAGCAGTAAACATCTGCTATTAAACAGCGAAGAGAAGAAGAGAAAAATGTTATCTACAGCATGTATTGTAATTTTGGCACATTTGCCTTTTCCCTCTGTATTGGTTCTGATAAAATCTATTGAGTTCAAAGGAAAATCTTTAAATGTTAACAAAAACAAATGTAGGTCCAAAGAGACTGCAACACACTGAACTTAAATGGAGGTCTGTGTAATAAAATGCCAGGCTAAATGTTCTGCTTTGGCAGCCCACCTGTTATAAGTGACACGTTTGGAAAGCTTGTGTTGGAAATGCCTTGATACAGCTTCTGGGCAATTATAACAGAACCACATTTCTGTACCCAATCCTTTTGCCTGTATATTCGTATGCAGAATACCTGGAAATGAAACTGGCTTACTACTTTACTTATTTTACTGTCTTTTTCAGAAAATCTCAGCAACAAGAAAATTCTCCTGCCTGAGCAGGTCTCACTCCAGAAGCCTGGAGGTCCACAGGCAGAATACTACTTCTGTGTTTTGCTATCCCAAATACAGTTGTCTGTTTTGAAAGCAAGGACAGTTCTATTCTTTTAAGCAACTTCAAAACATGAACTGTGTTGCCACCTTTTGAAAAGTGTATGTGTGTGATGCTCTTTGTTTTTTTTGGTGTGTTTGCTTTGTTTTGTTTTGTTTTGTTTTGTTTTTTACTTTTAACAAAGTAAAAGTAAAAAGAGAGACATCCAAGCTAGTTTTGTGATTCCTACCGGACCATACTGTAGTTATATTCCTCCCTTAGAAGACTCATAGAAGAAAATTGAAAGAGTGGTCTTTGTTTCATGGTTTATTAAATGAAAAATAAATAAATAAATAAGGGGAAAAGCAGCTTGCTGCAGAAAATACCCTCTCTGTCTCTCTCCCTAAGGCATAGATTTATAAAAAATTTATTCCAGCTCTCTGATATTTGAGCAGCAGGACAGTTCAGATCAAGTAGTATGTCTGTACTTACCTAAAATTTACAGTTTCTATCTGTCAGAAAGCAAATAAATCATCATGCACTGCCTTACTAAATTAAATTGCTGCACTAGATTCATTTTCCTCCTTAGTCCAGATTACATTTGTATGAATTTCACCATAAAATAGTGAATGGCATTTGTATTTTAGTACTAGTCCAGACTCATCTGGACTCAGTTGTGAAGAATTTTGCCATCAGGAGGACCTCACATGGTCTGACTACAAATGTTCTCAAAACAGCAGATCTTCACGCAAGTCATAACTATTCCATGGTTGTACTAGGTGAGAAGAATGCATGTTTGATATCAGATACATACATTTTTAATGCTGTTTGTCAAAAGGAGTATGATATCAGTACATAGGGCAAAGGCTCTCAGCGGTGTTTAATAAGATGAACTTTATACTTTACTGTGAAATTGAGATAGAATTCATTGCTGAGGACATGGTCAATGTGAGGATAAGATTGTACCTTGCTGAAATAAGAAGGGAAGAAAATATACAGGGAACTACCAGCAGTATCCAAATGAAAATAGTTTTTTTAGCTTTAGTTTTTGGGAAAGTAGGATACCTTATTTTGATTTGGAACAGATTCGCCACTCAGCTAAAACTTCAGACTGAAGATCTCTTCTTGACCCATTAGAATATGATGAAAGACTTCACAGGGAGGTGAAACATCCATTGAAATCCAAACTTCATTATCATTTACTTTCCCACAGTGATCACCGTGTAACAAGAGACAGTATCCTTGCAGGCTGTACCACTTGCCAGGATAGCGCTGCCACCTGCACAAGCTCCCTGCATCACCATCCTCTAGGGGAGAGTTCATGGGAGCATAAAGTCTCACCCTGGTGAAAATCTGTTGAGATGCCTTTCAGCTCAGTTACAGTGGCACTCTCTGAAGCATGTATCACAGCTGGAGTCAACTGGGCATCTAACTGCCCAGTGTGGGCAAAACCAGCAGCACTACTCTTGCACTCATTCATGTTCCTTCCTGTTCATTATTTGTTTGTTTATCACTTCTGAAGACTCAGTCTGACCTTCTAACACAGAAACTGAGACTGCAATAACTTGTAAAGCACCAGGAGGAAAGCCACAGCATGCTGGTTTGTCAGACTGTAATGTCCTAACTCAGTTTCTCCTCCAGAAGGGGTGATTTCATTCCCAGTATCAACATATCCTCTAAATTTGTGCTAAACTAATACTTTTGAAAACACCTCTTATAAGTAATTTTTTATATTTCGCAGACCAAGTATCCCAAACTTTGTTCGAGTCCAAAATGTTATGTGCCTGTCCCTGGAGGTTTAATTTCCACTGCTTGAAGCAGTAATGCCCCACCTCTGAACCACATGCGTTTCTTTTTTTTTTTTTTCTCCTCTGTTTTTCACTTGCCAGTGCATACAAATGAAAACCTAGGTAAACCTTTTCAGGAGGCTAATGGATAACTTTCAAATTCCCACGACAGTGCTAGCAGGGTGCTAAGCTATGAGGAGAAAAGGAGGAAATTAGCCTGTCACTCTGGGAAAGCAATGCCTACTGATACAAGGAGCAGTCTAATCTCAGTAGCCTTTCCAAACAGTTTACATGAAAAAACAACAAACAGAGAGAAGGAAGAAAGAAAAGGATTTCTGTTGTAAATTGACAGGAATGACTGTATTGGGTTTCTGCTGATGAGATCTCTTTGCAGCAAAGGGTTAGAAGGAATAAAAGAGTCTTTATGCCTTATTGGGGTGAGAGAAAACAAGACATAATGATGAAGCTGAATATATGAGCATGCTTCTCAAAACCTATGCAAATATTCAGAGATTTACACTTCATGTTTCTCGATATCCACCAGCTTATTTTTCTGGTAATTCTGGTGGATTTTTTTTTTTGTACACAGATCAGCTATTTATGATAGTCAGAGATCACAGCAACTCAATAGGATATTTTAAATGAAAGTGAAAAATTATTAGAAACTAACTGGATTCTGAATAACCATAGCAGTAGCATACTTGCAAGAACAAACTGTTTTAACATGGACCATATAAATTACATTTATGTATACAATCCAAATACTTGGGATTTACTGCATTAGCAGTGTGCAAAATGAAATGCATTTGAGAAATCCTTGGAATAAAGAATATATTTACTACTGATAGACAGCTTAGAAGAGAGATAAACTTCTAGATGATCTTTTGGACTCGTGATAAATATTTAATTGGGAGATGGCCAAAACTCGAAGATTTAAAAAATACAAATGCAAAATTCCTTACATCGTTCTGTAACCACATTCCTCAGAGATAGAGAAAAATGTTTCTATTGGAGTATTACTTATGTAAATACTATCACTTATGAAAACACTAGGTCAATAAGGATGTGAAACTGAATTGAAGAACTGGATAACTGGTAACACAAATCTAGGAGCATAATTCTTGAACATAATTTCATAAAGCAGTGAGAATGCCAAAGAAAGTCTGAGGAGGTGACTTAAAGCTTTCAAAGTAGATCATAATGACCCACACATCTCAATTAGATGTTCTGCTCTCAGGAACATGCAGGACCTGTGGTTCCAAGACCTGAAGTCTCTGGCAGAAACATGTATTCCCATTCCTGCTTTTTCCTGAGTTCACTTAGCACAGTTTGTTGAATGGATATACTGAGAACAGTGTTGGAGAACCAAACATTTTAAAATAATTACTGGTACATTTTTATGGTTTGGTTTGTAGCTTATTTTTAGTTCAGGTCAGACTTGTGTTGAAGCATGGGACAGGATTTCCCCCAGCCACTACTGCCATTTCAGACTTTGTTTTAGAAAATTAACTAGCCTGTATGTAGAAACCTAGTATGACAAAGCTGTTGTGTTACTAGTTGAGAAAAAAAAAAAAGACACTACTATACATAAATGCATTACAAATAGTAAAAGTTAATTATCCAGAAGCATTTTACAGGTTCGAATGTCATCTTTGTCTTTTACTCTCATTCAATCACATCCTATATTTAAACAAGAAATTTCACTCAGTAGTTGCTCATCCTTTACTGATCCAACTGAGTTTAACCGACCAAGATAATATTAATGGATAAGTTGTACGTTATTTTTAACTCCAAGGATCTGTGTGTGACCTTCAAAAGCTAATTTTAAAACTTCAGGAAAATTTCCACTGTATAGATATCCTCCCTGCATACCAATCATATTTCATTGATGGGAAATGTTTTCTTCTGTTTACAACTCTGTGTAACCATACTGACTCCTGCATCTTAGAGAAGGAACATCCCCAAAACACTTGTTGCTGTTCAGTCCTTTTTAGGTTACTGGACACAGCAAGAATGGACCAATATTCTGTTTGGAAATGCTACTTTGGAGAACTTTTCCCAGTCATCCTAACATCTTATTTGACATGAGAAAAGTGTGAAGTATTTTATAATAATTGCAATAATTAATAAATAATTAATATGTTTAAAAACTGATGCACAGAGTTAAGAAAAAAATGTGGCTAATGACTCAATCTCAATTTTGGCAAACTCTGTAAGGGTTTTCTACTGCTATTTCAGATAAAATGTTCTTGGCCGTCAGTGGGGATGCTTTTCTTCTAATCAGGCGAACACTCAAAAGCAGTCTTCAAAAGTTTCATCCAGAATAAGTAATTCAGGTCTCATGGTAAAGAACTCTTCCCAACTGGTGTTTCCTATGATTAATAAACTTAATCAAGGTCACGATGATTCGTTACCACATCTTGCAACCACTAGCTAACCATTGGTGTAACTTGTCTTCTGTGTAAAGATATTTTTAGAATTGCTGGTTGGCCTGAGTCAAAGCCAAACAGAGGTCTTGCCTGCTCAGGGAGTAAACAGATATTTAGCAAGAGAAATATAATGTCTGGCTAATGACTTGGTAGTTAGGAGTGCTACTTAAGGCTATGTGAACAGAGAACTATTGGCTTTCTAACATTAAGTCAAGTGCTAACTTGTCTGTATGATTTTTCAGTAAACAAGTGGAGAATTTAAATTCTTTCCATGTCTCTTTGTTTGTCATACATATATATTAATGTTACCTAAGTGGCTTTATTAATCATCACCTTTCAAGTACCCACTATTTTTGGAACTCTGCTATGCCCAGGAATAGCTTTTTGTAACGAGTTTCAAATATGATTTCAGAAGAACATTGAAGTGTTTAATATGTTTTGATGAATTCTTTATCTTTTATTGCAATAATTAAATCAGACAAGTGGAAGAGACAATCTGCAAATGCAGAAGTTACAATAAATAGGTGATATAGCAAATAAGAGCTACTAATTCAAACCCACTCATTGACAATGTGATGCAGATGCTAAATAAAGCAGAGCTAATGCACAGGAGGGACCAGATGGAATTCCTGCATCACAGCACAAATCACCATGGGAAACATCTGGAAATTATCATGAAAAAACAAACAAACAAAGAGGTCCCCTTAACCTCTAGAGCTTGCTAATCACAAATCATTGACTGAAAGTATCTGGAGAGTAGAGGTACAGCAGTTATTGTGAATGGAACTAAAAGAAGAAAGGCTATGACAGTATTTCATATCTGCTGTATTTTGGGTTGGATATAATGTCCTCAGTGGGAGACTGAGCATTACCAAGATGACATTGCATCTCCAAGGCATACGTGAAAAAGGCAAATGAAAGGTTTTTGCCAAGCTTAATTAAACACATCCCAATGCATTAAAACAGATAGAGCAGACAAGGCAGCATAGAGTTCAAAAAGGGCCAAACAGTTCAATTTGGATACATGGATATCTTCAGTGCCTGTACATGGCGAACTAAATCAGCATAGGTGTGAGCGTGCCTAAAACACATGCTATGAAGGACACACATTGTCACCTTATGTCTCTGCTCCTGCTTCTGGGAAAGAGTGCTATGTGACTGAGGGATGCCCGTACACTGATAAGACGTTTTAGGTCCTCACTCTACATTTCAGATCATGCTCTGAAAGCCAAGCATCTGACATATAGGCAACATCTCACACTACTTGCATATGTATTCAGTCTTCGCCGGTCTTGGCCCTATACCATCTATGGCTCAGAGATTTTCTTCATGGTCCTGGAGCACACACAAAACACACTTCTCTTGGTTTCAGTTACACCCTGTATTCTTTTGGAATTCTGGTAATTTTTAGGGTCTGTCCATGACCAAAAGATACCAAAGGAATGCATACAACCCAAGATCTTTTACATAAAGGAAGAAACATAGATTTGAGTAACAACTTTTGAAAAAAATGTTGTAATAACCAAAATGGGAAAAATGTAGTTTTCATTTATATGGTCAACTCAAATAAAACAAATTAGGTCTCAGTGAGTCCATTATTTCTTTACCAAATTTATAGTTCCCATATGTGAGATTTGTCATGAGTATGGCCAAACGAGGCCTAACCACCCCTGGTTTAACCTGAATTTAAATGCTCTTGTGTGACTATTTTTATAGAAATAAAATCTCTTTGGGGTTACCTTATTATTTTTCTCTTCTGTCATTTTTTATGTGTGAAACATTCTGGACCATATACTTTAGCTTTCTTTTTCTAATTTAGCTTTAGTAAAATTGCAAGAATTACTCTATAAAACTTTGCTGAAGGAAAAAAGAATGTCTAAGAAAAATATTATCTGAAGCAAAGAAATGTGAAAAGTCTGAGATATGAGCCACAGCCTGGGTCTGACA